AGACCCTCACTCCACCAAGGTGACGCGGGGGGGGGGGGGGGAAGTCGGCTACGGTCGGGCAGACGACGCAGGGAGGCGTGTTGCCAGATTTGGCCAAGGCTCAGTGACACGAAGCTGACAACGTCGAATTAGCGTGACGAAACATCTTTTATCCCATTTCTTCTCCTTGACTGTTAGTTCAATATTCTGCGTTGGTAATGGATGTTTTTTTGTATATGTATTCGTCCATTGATTTACTTAGCAATAATAATAAATGTGCAAAACCTTTAAAAACACCAACAGATGCATGATAATATGCAAACACGTCTCAAGGATATAAAAAACCACGCTAGCAAAACCCAAACAAGACTGCAGGGCTGGATGGCACAGCCTAGTCTTTATCAGCTATCGAAACGCCCATTTTTCGTGACAGTGTCGAGGGGCGATCCATGCCAAGCCGTTGGGTTGATATTTGTCCGCTCCGGGTTACAGCCGCAATGATGCATGGTGGCCATGATAACCAACGAAAAGAGCTGATCGACGATCCAACAATCAATCCAACCGGCTGAACCCGTTGGTTGATCGATCGAAGAATGGTAATCGATTGATGCGTATTGTAGCAGTGCCATCAGCACAGCCTGTCCTTCACTTACTTTCGTATTGTGGAATCAGCACAGGTTACAGCACGCAAATGGTAGCTCTCTAACTCGCACTTGACCCTGCACGATGTGCCGTCTACTTCCAAGGTTACATATCATCTCGTGAAATAGCTATCCTGCAATGTTACTTTGCAACAAATCAACATAATCAGTGATTTATAAGATGCCGTTTAAGTATGGCCGGCCCAGCGTGCGCGCAACAGAGAATTGTTAAAAATAGCGCTAGCTGGCTTTAATCCCACGCGTAAACAACGTTGCTTTCCACTAGTTATCAGTGGTTCATCCTAGCCTGTGGTAGTGGTACTGATGGCAATGACAGGCGGCGTCACTCCAGTGTTGGAGGTCCGAGCAAGGCTGCACGCGCATGCCTCAAGCGCCAGAACTAGGAGCGACCACTCGCCAGACGCCGCCGACGAGGCCACCATGAGGGTCGCAGGGGCACCCCGGACGACGGACAGTGGCGTCAGAGATGGCCGCAGGAGCTGGTAACCAGCCTGGAGACCACAGGGGCACCCCCGGACGACGTACAGTGGCGTCAGAGATGGCCGCAGGAGCTGGTAACCAGCCTGGAGACCACAGGGGCACCCCCGGACGACGGACAGTGGCGTCAGAGATGGCCGCAGGAGCTGGTAACCAGCCTGGAGACCACAGGGGCACCCCCGGACGACGGACAGTGGCGTCAGAGATGGCCGCAGGAGCTGGTAACCAGCCTGGAGACCACAGGTCACTGTCACCCCAAGGTCACTATCCCCGATGGACAGTGACCTTCGGGCGGCCTCAAAACTGACAGTGACTCTGAAGATCACAGAGGTGCACTTCGACGGACAGTGAGCTAGGCGATGGCCGAGGGACTCGGTAGTGACCCTGAAGATCACAGGAGCACATGCTGACGGCAGTGCTCTCAAAATGGAGCTGGAGCCAGCGGTCACCCCAGTGACCTCAGCAACACACCTCAGAAGAACAGTGACCCCAGAGATGACCGCTGAAGCCGACGGTCACCCCGGCGACGGCAAGGGCAGCCCCCACGGACAGTGGCCCCGGAGATGACCGCTGAAGCCGACGGTCACCCCGGTGACCGCAAGGGCAGCCCCCACGGACAGCGGCCCCGGAGATGACTGCAGGAGCCGGCAGTGACTCGACAGAACTCCCGGACGGCGTCGTTCCTTGCTTCCGTCGGCTGATTTCGGCTGAATGACTCACGGCTCAGCGCGGTGTACGCCGCCGACCGGCGGGGAGGGTGGCCCGCTGTCGACATCCCCCCCCTCCCCACCTCAGGAGCGCTGCCTGCTGAGCAAGCTGAGAGCGGCTCGGCAGCACAGCGCTGGGTCAGCCTCACACACGGTGCTACCCTGTGTCCCAGGCTCAGAGCAGTGCTAGGGCGCACTCAGAGCAGTGTGGGGGCGCACTCAGAGCTCAGAGCAGTGCGAGGGCGCACTCAGAGCTCAGAGCAGTGTGGGGGCGCACTCAGAGCTCAGAGCGGTGCAAGGGCGCACTCAGAGCTCAGAGCAGTGTGGGGGCGCACTCAGAGCTCAGAGCAGTGCGAGGGCGCACTCAGAGCTCAGAGCAGTGTTAGGGCGCACTCAGAGCTCAGAGCGATGTTGGGGTGAGCTCCGGACACGCAATGGTGACATCGTAGGGAATTATTTTCCTATTCAGTTGTAATTGATGGGATGGAGGATGGGATTTCCCAAACTTGAGGGGAGAGTGGGCCAAAGCCGGGGAAAAAGCCTTTTGCGTAATTTGGGGCAGGCCTTCGGCTCGGCTCATTTTACCCGCTCGGCCCACCTATGTATTTTGCAAACACCAACCCTGTGCTATCGTATGCACCGGAGGTGAGCCATCGACCATCGCACGCTTCAGGCCTGCCGACATGACCTGCTGAAGCATATCTAACCATCAGCTGTATACAA